AAATTTTCATTTATTTTTTATAATATTAAATATTATGAATTACTTAATGTTTAATTGGAAATTAATGTAATTAAACAATAAATATAAATTAATTTTAATATGAGCTGAATTCGGGATATTTTTTTTTTATTTTTTCATATTCAATTACCAACGTGATTCTCGTCGGTAATTAGTAAAACAAAAATCAAAAAATGGTGCCTGAAAAAATTGGCGCCTAAAATTTTGGAGATCATTTAAACTAGGAGGGAAGATTTTTGTGTAGTTCAGACGTGGTTTTTGTCGGTGATTGACTAACATGGCTCAAACTGCGAAGCAGTTTTCCTGGATTGTCAGACGTGATATTCGTCGGTGTTAGGCGTTGGGCACGAGGCTGTTGTGTAAATGCAGACGTTATGCTTGTCAGTGATTTACCGACGTGGAACCAGAGATGTTTTCCGGTGAAGTGTTCCGTCTCCCTTTTTCCAAGACGTTCTTTGTCGGTAATTAGGGGTACGTTTACCGACGTGATTTCCATCTACGTTGGTGTTTGAATCACCAAGCCCGGCTTCACCGAGCAACCCAACATCGACGTGATTCAAGTGGGTATAGGACTTCACCGACTAGATTCCCTCTTGTTTTCGACATGGCTACTCGTCGGTGATACAGTGAATTCTTGTAGTGATTGGATAGAATTAATCATGACTGTAGAAGCATATTTTTGCATTGGTATATATAGCCATATATTTCTGTAAAATATTTTACTTTTGCTATATTTGCTACCAAAGTGCTGCTACAGTTTCGTTTAAGTTTGTGCTTGGGCTTCTGGATTATTTGTGACTTCTACACTAATTCTTCAAGACCAAAATTAGGTAAGGCATGAATTTTGGTAGTTTTGATTTTAGCGAAGAGTTTTTTTCTCCTCTCACCCTTTCTGATTTAGATTTAAGTCTTCTTAAGGGGGTTAGGTTGAGGAGTGAGAGTGACATTGAGCGTGAGTTAGAACTTTTTAAAGATCCTAACTTCATTCCCCTCCCTACTCCATGAAGTGAAAGTTATGAAACTGAAGGAATGTCTTCTGAGGAAACATTAAGTGTTGGAGGAAGCAAGGAAGTGAGGGCTTTGCAGTATGGTAATGAGGGTATGGAGAGTGGGTCATTTGGGTCAAAGAGAACCGAGGATGAGGTTAGTGGGAAAGAGATTATTGAGGGTGGAGAAGAAGGAGTGCCATCGAATATTTTGGAAATTAAGGGTAAGGGCGATAGGTGCTATAATGTAGAGGCAGACATTGTCTCTGAAGGGAAGGGCTATGAGACCGAGCTAGGTACGAGGGATAGCCTCGTTCACTTAGTTGAGAATTAAGACCTTCCTCCTCAAGTGTTACTTAGGCCTATTAGGGTAGAGGAGAGGGCATGTTTTGCACATCGGGATCATTCGATGCCCATGTATGCTTATTACTTAACAACTAGGCTTAGATTTCCAATTCTAGAGTTGCTGGTTTGGTTATTGTTGGATTATAGTATAGGGTTAACCTAATTAGTGCCTAACAAGTAAGGGTGATAATTGGGTTTTGGTATACTACCGAGCTAGGGGTGTTAGGATACCCACTATAAATATGTTTAAACATTTCTTTGTAGTTAAGGCTGAGAGTAGAAAGGTGAAAGGGTGGTATTACTTCACACCTCGGTCATCTAACAAAGAAAAAATGAACTTATTTAGTGTAGGACCTTCATCCATTAAGGGATGGAAGGAAAAGTTTTTATTTGTTGATGACACGGAGTGGGAAAGGAGGGATGCAGAGGTAGAATTTTTGTCTAGTTGGAAGGCTAAAAAGGCCAACCAGAATAAGTATAGTTTAAATAGTGATAAGGAGGAAGAGGTTAAGAAGCTGGTGAGAGAGGGAGGTGACATTTTGGATGTTATGTATCTCACCAGCTCAAATGTTATAGATGCCGCTAAGCTTAATGGGCCAAGTTCGTTAATTGAAGGCGTGTTTGTGTTTTGTCTTGCATGATTTAATGTTAGGTTCTAACTTATGCTTTTAACATTTTTTCTTTTTTGCAATCGAGCTGGAGAGATTTTTTGGTGCAGCTAGAGGATTGGCCATTCCTAAGAAACCAAGGAAGAAGTTAAAGACTTCAGATGTTGCAAGTGAGGGAAGAGCTAGAAAGAAAGAAAGGGAGCAGCTCTCTAGTTCCTCAACTTGAGCTCTAGTAAATGAGCTAAGGCTAGAGCTCAAATGCAAGGGAAGTGAAGACTTGGAGACAGCTTAAAGGAAGAAGAAGAGAGTAAAGGAGACAGAAGTTAGAGGAGACGAGGTGGCGGAGTTCATACCTCGGCCTCCTCTTGTTGAGCTTAATCTAGAACTCAAAGAGATTAGGGTTTCCACCCATGGTAAGGGGAAGGCTCTGGTACCTCATCCTACTCTGTACAACAGTATTTTTGATATGAAGAGTAGTATGGCGGTGAAAAACTTTCTAAATGCATATCTTCATAAAGTGGATTGTCGCCAAGCCAGGGAGGAGGTTCTGAGCAATGGGGGGAGTTCGGTTGTTAAGCATGCTTTGGAGGTACGTCGATTGATGATATTTGATATTTAGTTGTTCTTCTCTTCTTCTCCCCCTCTTTTTTTTTCTTGTGTTGTTGATTGGTGCTTATATGGTAGTGTGCGAGCTGGATTACTATGCTAGCTCAAGAATTTTTGGAAAATATCAAAGAGCGCAACAAGCTGTAGAAGCAGAATGATGCACTGCAGAAGGAGAAAGAAGAAATGAAGAAAGGCTTGGATGAGGTGGTGCTAACAGCTACGAGTTTACAAGATGAGAGGGATTCGTTGAAGACGTTTTTTTCATTTGAAGAGCAAAAGAGGAAAATATGCGAAGATAAGATCGAAGCTCAAGAGAAGGAAATAAAGAAAATGAAAGAATGTCAAGCCGAACTCAAAAAGAATGTAAAGCTGCTAGTACACAATGCAATGGAGTAGGTCATTGCAGAGTTTCTCAACTCTAGCACTTTTGACAACATTGTCAATCTCTACCGTCTACCGACTATGATCTTAGCATTCACGGACTACAGGAAGAAGGTGAAAGCTTAATATCTCGAAGTGGATGTAACGAGAATCACCTTTGGAGAGCAAGAGGAATGAGTGAAGGAGAATCGTGAAAGCATGTCAGTTGACTTCTGACTTTAGATTAAGCTGAGATGGGATCGTGACAAAGAGGGTTGCACCATTTTCCCTTCGAACTTTGACTTTGAGTTCGTCGCAGTGGAAGAAGGGAATGCAAAGGCAGAAGGTGCAGAGGTGGAGGTGAGCCAGACACCTTATCTAGTGGAGATCCATCTAGTTGTTTCAGAGGAAGACCAGCAAGCTCCCCCAACAGAAGATCAGACACCTCCTCAAGTAGAGTAGTGAGGCTTTATTTTTTAATTTTTATTTTATTGTAAAGTTTGAACAATTTTTTTGTTTTATTTTGAACAGTTATGTAATCACTTCTTTTGTCAATGCAATTAAGTTTTGAGAATTTATTTTAACTACTTGTTGTGTTGGTGTTAAATAAGAGCCAAAATGAGTGAAAACACTTCAAATTTGAAGTGAAATTATTAATAGAATCGACATCAAAGAAGATGAATCTCATACAAAGAAGTTAAGGATCTCGAATAAAAATTCTAGAAAGCTAAATGACAAGAGATTGACCTCGAATAAAAATATCAGAGAACTTCATAACAAGACATTAACCTCGGATAGAAGAAGTAACAATTATAAACTAAGATAAAGTTCAACTTAGGAATTGAATTAAAGGCAAAACTTTTTCTGATTGTTCACATTCCAAACTTTGGGAACTTTTTTTCATTCAGCGTTTTGAAGAATATATGCACCTAGGTGTGGCACCTCGGCTACTGTATAAGGGCTTTCCCAATTTGGGGCTAATTTGCCAAAACAAGTTTCAAATCTTGTTAGGCCTGCTTTTCTCATAACGAAGTCACCAACTCTAAATGTTTGATGGCAAACTCGTTTATTGTAGGAAATTGGCTAATTTCTACTTGTGTGCCAAAGTTCAAAGTCGTGCTTCCTCTTTGACTTCGTCAAGCAGATCAAGGTTCTTCCGAAGTAGTTGTCCATTTTGTCCTTCATCGAAATGGGTGACCCTAAGGCTGGGGACTCCTATTTCAATAGGAATGACTACTTCGGTACCAAAGGCTAGATGGTGGGTGTTTTACCTATTTCATTTAGTTATTGTTTTAGAGTATGCTTTATATATTATGCATATTTGACTTAGGATGAAGCAACAAAAGAAGAGATAAAATGGTAAGGAGGTAAATTCAGATGGGAATAGTACTTATGGTAGTTCCGCTCGGGGTTCTATATGGCCAAAGCACGTTGTTGAGCTTGTTTGCTCATTTGGCCTTGTGTTGCTCTAACCTCTGTTTTATTCCTTCCAAAATAGCTTTGTTAACAGATTCCACCATGCCATTGGATTCTAAGTGGTATACTGAGGTAAATTGTAGTTTGATTCCATAACTAGAGCAAAAGTCTCTAAATGTTGAGCAGTTGAGCAGTTGAGCTAAGTTCCATTATCAGCCACAATTTGATTTGGAATCATATATCTATAGATGATTGAACTAAAAACAAAGTCTTCAACCTTTCTAGAGGTAAGGCTGGATATTGGCCAAGCTTTGACCTATTTTGTGAAGTCATCAACCCCGACTATCAAATGAGTTACTCCTCCAACTCCTTTCACAAATGGACCTAAGAGATCAAGGCCCCACTGAGCAAATGGCCATGGTGCCACTAGGTTTATGAGTTCTTCAATTGGTTGATGAGTTAAATGTGCAAAAAATTGGCACTTTGGGAACCTCTGCATGAAATTAGTGGTGTCTTTGTGTATGTTCGATTAGTAGTATCCTTGTCTAAGGACTTTATGAGCCAGAGTTCGAGCACCAACATGACTTCCACACACACCTTCATGGACCTCCCGAAGTGCATATTCGGCTTTATAAGGACTTAAACACCAGAGAAGGGGAAGTGAGAAAGATCTCTTATATAACACTTCATCTATTAAAGCATACTGAGATGCTTTCTTTCCCAGTCTCATTTCTTCCTGCTTATCATCAGGGGCTGACCCATCATGTAGGAAAGACACAATTAGGTCTGTCCAACTTGGTGTGCTCAGATCCGTGTTGATTTCCATCACCCCCCGGCTTTTGGAAGCAAGGCTCATTTAGAACCTTAACAAAAACTAATCTTGAACCTCAAGAACTATTAGAGGCAAACTTTGAAACCAAATCTGCTTGTTCATTTTCAATTTGAGGTATCTTAATTAGACAGAATTTCTCAAACTTGCACTTGAGTTCAACCACTAGAGCTACATACTTCATCAGAATTGGGTCGACTACCTCGCAAATGGCATTAACTTGATTAACTACAAGTTGTGAGTCATTGTGAACCTATATTGTTGTGACTTTCAATTCTAACGCCAACTATAGGCCAAGTAGCAAAGCTTTGTATTTGGCCATGTTATTAGTTGCATCAAAATTGAACTTCAAAGCATGTTCACTTCGGTAGCCATCTGGTCCGACTAGGATTGCTCCAGCTCCTGCTCCTTTATTATTTGATACACCATCAACGTATAAAATCCATGTAACTGGTTAGACTTCCTGAGCTAGCTGATCAAAGGTGCATTCAACAACAAAATCAACTAGTGCTTGAGCTCGGATTGTTGATCTGTGTTGGAACGTTATTTCAAACTGTCCCAGCTCGATTGCCCATTTGATCAATCCACCAAGTCATTCTGGTTTCCACAATATTTGCCAAAGTGGTTGATCGGTCAGGACGACAATTGAGTGTAACTAAAAATAGGGCCTTAACTTCCTGGAAGAGATGACAACTACTAAAGCTACTTTTTCAGCAATGGAATATCTTTGTTCTGTTTCGTGAAGCACTTTGCTAGTATAGTAAACTAACTTATGTTGCTTTTCTTCTTCTCTTACTAGTGCCGAACTGATTGCCTCATGTGAGATACCAAGGTACAAGTAAAGGATCTCCTTATCAACAACTTTCGTTAACAATAGAGGTGAGCTAAGGTAAGACTTGAGCTCGTCAAATGAAGCTTGGCATTCTAAACTCCACTCAAATTTTTTTTGTTTGCTAGATTCGTCTTTTTGAGCCACATATCTCATAATCTTGAAGAATGGAAAACACTTGTCAACAGATTCGGAAACAAATCTATGGAGGGCTACCACCCTACGAATTAACCTCTACACACCTTTCATTGACTTCAGAGGTCCCATCTCCTCTATCGCTTTAATCTTCTCTAGGTTGACCTCGATACCCTGCTTGGAAACCATGAAGCCTAGAAATTTTTTGGATTTCACTCCAAAAATACAATTGGCTAGATTTAACCGCATTCTATTCTTTCTCAAATTAGTGAAAGTTTTTTCCAGGTCAGCTATATGATCTTCAGCTTTTAGGCTTTTCACAACTATGTCATCAACATAAACTTCGAAGTTCCTGTCAATCTAAGCTCAGAACACAATGGTTACCATTTTCTGGTAAGTGGCACCTACATTCTTTAAGCCGAAAGGCATCATAACATAGCAATAGATTTCATCTCCAACGTAGAATGAAGTTTTTTCTTCATCTTCTAGGGCCATTGGAACTTGATGATAGCTGGAGTATGCATCTAAGAGTCTTAACCTCTCATTTCTAAAAGCTACTTCAACTAGCTTATCAATATTTGGCATCGGATAGTAGTCCTTAGGACAAGCTTGATTCAAGTTAGTGTAATCGATGCACATTCGCCATTTGCCATTGGATTTCTTGACCAGCACTAGATTGGCAATCCACTCACACTAGTTGACTCTTCTAACGAAACCTGCTTGTAAAAGCTTTTCTACTTCCTCTTTGATCACCTTAAGTCTCTCCCCTCCAAAAAGGTGTTGTTTCTATGCAACTGGCTTTTTCAAGGGATTTGTGCCAAGTTTGTGCATAGATACAGAGGTAGGAACTCCCAACATGTCTACAAAGGTCTAGGCAAAAACATCTTTGTTGGCTCGGAGGAATGCTATCAGCTTAGCTTTGTCTTCCTGTTTCAAATGAGTTCCTATTTGGGTTTTTTTGTTCGGATCTCTGTCATCAATTTGTACTTCCTTAACATCTTTAACTGGGGCAGCTCGGGTTTTGTCTTCAAGTTGGTTATCGAGGATTTCAACGTCCATTACCTGCTGCTTGTCATGGACTTCGTATGGGTTAGTTTCTAACGTCTGATCTTTTTGTTTCAACGACTTTGTAACCGAGGTAATATAACAATGCCTAGCTATTTCTTGATTGCCTCTCAGTGTTGCTATCCCTATAGGGGTAGGGAATTTCATGTAGAGATGGGATTGAGAGACCACAACTCAGATCTTCGTTAATGTAGGTCAGCCAATAACAACGTTGAAAGATGAAGCTATTTTAACAACCAAAAACCAAACTGAAGGAGTAACGTAAGTTTGGCCACTTCTAAATGCAACATTGAGGGTAATGACCCCTTCAACCTGAACAGGTTAGTTGTTGAAGCCATATATAAGACCGTCGTACCTCTGTAACTGTCACGCCCCAAAACCCAATTTCGAGACGCGACAGACGCCGTGCACTCGTGAGACGGGTCCCACAAATGCACAAGGCTCGGAACTTATCACATTCACACTCTGATACCATCAAAATCTGAAGATCAAATTATAAAATTCTCTCTAATATCATAAAATCTCCAAATACAAGATCATGATTCATATCTAAAATTTATATCCAATTACAATATGGCTAGCTTTCTAACTCGTCACTTCTCGTGGTTTCCTCGTCCTCGGTTTCATATCCTGAAATGGTGGACAAGGAAAACTATGAGATAAACTCAGTAAGTAAATATGGAGTGCCCCTTATTTAAACTTATAGCATGCCACATGTGCATTCACGCAAAACGGATACAGTACGGGAACGAAATAGACGTCTCCTTTATAGGTCACGGCCAATGTTATAAACCTCCCACTGACAGGCACACGATTTACTAGTGTATAATCCCACTAGCAAGATAACAGAAACGAACCGGTTCTATCAATAACATGTCGACATGTGCTAGCGTTTATAAACCTCCCACTAGCGGGCACGCGAATAACATGACCATATCGGAGACAAAACAGGCAGAAGTTAACAGAAAAATCACAATTCACTATCACTTTCAAATCATCAGGACAATTCACAATCACTTTCAAGTAGGCATGCTCAATTTAATGAAAAACATAAA